TCTGTAGTGATGCCAGTCGTGTAGGGAGACGTGTTTGCTTGATTAGTCACCAAGGCCTGAATCCAGGCAGTATAGCTTAAGGCATCCAACTGAGGTCCCAAGATAGGAGCCTGGTTTCTCTCTGCGGTGAGCAGAGACAAATGCCTTTATCATGTGCTTTAGCTCTTAAGTTACCCTGTCTGTCCCTGAGCTTGAAGAGGAATTTAACTCTCTAAAATTACCTGGGGTGAATCTGGGCCGGACTGTTTGTACATGAGCAGCTCTGAAATGCTGGCATACAAATATAGATTCTTACTCGAAGAGAGTGTTAATCCCGCCATGTCCTTCTCTGCCCATCTTGCTCTGGTTCCCAAAACCTGTATTGCTGCCACAACCCTCAGAAATTTGATGGCTTTAATATCGGTGTTCGATGACTGCTGATCATGTGACAGTTCACCTTCATGTCACGTTGTTCTTTTGGCTCTTGGAAATAGATATAAAATTTGATACCCCAGCAAAGAGGGACAGAACAGGGATTTTATAACATTGACAAGTCTGTTTTTTTTTTTTTTTCTCTTTGCTTTTGATTGCTACTTTGAATATGAAAGTCAAAGAGTAAGATCTTGATCTTACAACAATTGTTCTCCTTTGTTGTTCATAGGCTGCTAAATGTGTACCTAAATATAGTATATGCCAGATGAGAGAGTTAATGTTGCTATGAGAACCTTAACCTCAGCATTTCCTAGGGTTTTATGTTTGTATGTGGAGAGCAAAAAAGCAATGATCAAATAACTTACTTTTTTTTTTTTAATAAGTGCTGTCTAATGACTTGTATACAAGTGGTGCTATCTGCAAATTATTGCTATTACTGCTGCAGTTTGTTTGAAGGGCTTTCTTTCCTGCATAAGCTGTGCAACAAAGGAGGCAAAAAGAGCCACAAGGTTGACCTATATATTTATTTCATTGCAGCACTTGAAATTCCCTCACTTCACAAAGCTGTCTCACTGCTGCTGGGCACGGAGGGGGGGAACTGGGTGGTACTCCAGGGCTGGGGTTGGTTGAGCTGCTGCTTGCTTTGCAGGTCTGCACAGAATGTGCTTAAGGGGCTTTTCTTCACCAAAGGTTACAGCTCCAGGAATCATGCCTCGACTACCTTTCTGTTACAATTCAGCTAGGTAATTAGCAGTTCAAGAGAAACGTGCATGCAAAGCTGCAGTCTTTAGGGTTGACCAAAAGCTTCCCTGCACTTCCAGCAACTTTGATTCTACTCCTGTAAGCCCATGAACACAGAGAGCTTTCAGAAAAATGATCACATCAAAACGGTGCAATCTTGGTGTACCTGCCTGTGACATAAGTGCCATGAGGAATAAGTCACTCTTTCTGCTTGTACAAGGTACATGCATTTCAGTTCACTTTTCTTTTTTATTAACATCGTTGGTGGTATGCTTCTCAAGTCTGAACAAACAAGTGACATTTGAGGATGAATATTGAAACTTACTGGATTGATGTTGAGTTTGTGTGGCTTTTGGTACAACAGAAAGCTGAAATGACTCTTCCGGTGTATTTTAATGGCTTCCTGTGATGTTTGGCTGTTACAAAGGAAAATGTGTGAAAAACTAACATACAGAAGCCTTTTATCCGCTAGGTTGCCATCAGATGGTCTCTCCTTGTCTGTGCTCTTTCCTTAGACTCAGCTGGGAGTCAGAGCCCAGGACAGCAGAGGTTGGTTGACACTGGCATCAATTACACTGTAATCTGTTTCAGATTGTACAGTGCAAAAGCTGATCCATTTGCTCCGAAGACTGTCAGCATAACTTCTCTTCAAAGCCTAAGGGTTGGGTTTTTTTTTGTGTGATAATTATATACGCTTTTAAGTTTTATTTTGCACAGAAAGGAAAGAAAATAGCACAAATATAAAAGTGGAGGAGGGGGAAAGTAATGTGATCGTGACACAACTGGGCTTACTTTTTTGTCCTCTCTTCTTGTGCATGCTGTTTGCATTACTTGATGCACGCAAAATGCTCCGCTTGGTACTATGAGGTTGAGGAGCTGAGGCTGGGAGATGAAATAGCCATGAGGGTACTCCTGATACACAATCCATTATATGCAACTAGTGAAGTGGTGAATATTAATCTTCTTTTAAATTTTTAATTTTTAAGCCTTTGTCTTTAAAACAAACAAACAAACAAAAAAAAAAACCAAAAACAAAAAAAAAAAACAAAACCGGAGGGAAGAATTCCTCGCAGAACAATGGCACAGTCTGTTATCTGCTCCTCTGCGCCGTAAAGCACTGAATGTTCAGCCAATATAGTGCTCTGGTTGGCTTAGCATTCTTAACCTTAATTTTGAATAGAAGGTGCCTTGTGCTGCTGACGTAATTGGGGCCTTTTGTAAATCACTGTTGCAAGCAGTGCTGTTGTATCTCACTGCATTTCTTTGAGGGATGCAGGGCAAAAGTGTCAGTCTAACTTTCTGAACCGCACTGCAAGCTAAGCGATTTCATTATTGCAGTTCTGCTTCATTTTCTTTTGCTGATATTAAGTTCCAAATAAATTTTGCAAGTGAAATAATATTTCTGATGGAAGAAGTTTGACTGGGGATCCCTTCATGTCTTTAAGTGGTTAAAAAAAAAGGGGGGGGGGAGGGGAGATATGATAGGGAGCGTGTGAGGGTTGGATTGAACCAACTCCCTTCAGGACCCCTCTGCTAGTGAAATATTGTTATCTGCCTCTTTTGTTGCTGGAAGTGTCCAAAAGTTTTGAGCCGAATCCTTACTGTGAGTCGGTGGCTCTGCTGTGGCTGTAGGTCGTGCTCCGCAGCACTCTGCAGGGCAAGGCATCTTCTTACACTTTGCATCAGCCTCTCTGGGACCTTGGCGGTCTCGCCTCTGCAGAGGGATGGGGTTTCACCTCGCTCCTCTCTCTTGTCCTCTGTTGTAAGTTCAGCTCAGGCCGTTCCATCTGCTGATGGAGTCTTTTATATCCCTGATGTCAGTGGCGATACGCGGCCTTGCGCTGTCCTTGATGGCAAACACAGCACTATTAATAGTCAGTGATGTTAACTTCTTAATTCCTGCGTGCAGCCTGCCCCTTGGCTTTAAAGGCACCATGACGGAGCACTGCTGCGACCAGCCGTGGCCATAAGCGTGGTGGGCTCGTGTCTGTGCAGTGCGATGCCAGCGTGCTTCCCCAGAGCTGGTGTCAGTTGCATGCAGGGCGAGGAGGGATGGCTAGGAGCATGAGGAAGTACGACCTGCGTGGGTCTGAAAGACAGTGGCAGGTTTCTTCCATTGGCCGTACCCCACCAAGTCTTGCCATTCGTAGCAGCAGGGTGGTTGTACACCTTACTTTGGTATGAGAGAGGCACCCTTGATAGAAGAGCTTTCCTCCTGCCTGGAACCGGTCAGCAGCAGGCAGTGGGTGCAGCCTCAGCCCCCCGGGCCCAGCACGGCCTAGTGAGGAGCTGCTTGGGCTGCTTGTGAGGGACAGCACCCGCTGGTGTCCCTGCACAAAGTAGCAGGGAATTCCTTTCACTCGTATCATTCCTTTTCAATTGATTGTGATGGGAAAGTAGTCAATAAAGAAATTGAATTAAATGGGTATTATCGCCTCCTCTTTCCCCGCAAACTCGAGCAACAACTTTCCGTCTCGCTCGCTGTTGGCTTTGCGGTTTGCCGGCCCGATCGGAGCGCTCTTTTTTAAAGACAACTTTTTGCTGTCCGGGCTGACTCCTCCCTCCGGGCTGCAGCGGCTGCGGGGCTTCCCCTCCCTGGAACTTTTCGGGCTGCCAGAGGGGTGCCCGCAGGCCGGCGGGCGCGAAAGCGGGTTTCCTTTGTAAGTTTTTTGTTGTTGTTGTATGGGAGGGGTGGGGGGGGAGGGGGGGCGGGAATAATTTGGAAGTCTGATAGTGTGTGGGAAACGATTACATCAGTCAGAGGGAGGGCTAGGATTGGTCTGCGCGGTGTGGTTTGATTCACTACCGCAAAGGTTGCGTGTAACCCTTTGAGCGGAGCTCGGCGGGGCCGCTTTGCTCCGCAGCCCGGGCAGGGAGGCGACAGGTGCGGAGCGGGCAGGGCCGGCCCGGCCCTGAGGCCGGCAGCAGAGCAAACTCTCTGCCAAGAGGCGATCGGTGTTTAAAATGCCATCTTGTTCTTCCGACTGCTGCCTCTTACGTGCTGCTGAGGTAAGATTTTCCGTCTCGGATTACCCTCCGGGTTTTTGTTAGGTTTGTCTTCTCTGGCCAGAATGCGGCGTTGGAAGCGGGGAGTTCCTCTCCAGCGTCAAGCTGCGGGCTGGTGGGGGATGTAATTCCACAGCAAGTGTGTCTGTGTCGTCTGTGTCTGAGCAGAACAATGCCAAGAGGAGAGCATCTGTGTAATCCAGGAGGTGGGGAGAAGGTTCCTGACTTGCTCTTTCTCTCTTTTATTATCTGGGATGTGTGGGTCAGGCAGGTTTGGTTCCGAAGCACTCGGAATCCGGGATGGAGAAGTCGGGAAGGGAAAGCACAACGTGTGCTGAGCCACGCGTGGCAGTTCCCCGGCACGGCAGCCCAAAGTTAGCGGGGCTCCACAAGCCATTTTCTCCCCAGGGTCCCGGGCTGCCGCTCCGCCAGCGTCCAGAGGCCTCCAACCACACCGACGGGAGAACAGCGGGTGCCCGCCACGTCTGCCTTCCTGCACCCCAGTACCCTGCAGGAGCGCTCACTCCCTTCATTCTGTTTCACATTTGCTTTCCTCGCACAGCCTGATAAAGAACCTGCTGCCGGCTTGTTCCTGTCTATGTGGTCCTATTAACGCTGCTTCATCTTTGTCTGGTGCAGGGAGGCACTGGGGGAGGGGCAGGAGGCCAAGGCCTCGCCACCAGTGCTGCCCAGTGCCACCCAGTGCCACACGCCCACCCGACGTGCCCCTGCTGCTGCTCCCCGAGCCCAGGCACAACGAGGACACGCTCCGTCCGGCGGCGGCCGTGCGGTTTGCCTCTTTCCAGAGCTGCTGATCTGTAAGTGTACCCTTTATGTTGCAGGATGTAAAAGTCTTTAGTGAAGATGGAACGAGCAAAGTGGTCGAGATTCTAGCAGACATGACAGCCAGGGACCTCTGCCAGCTGCTGGTTTACAAAAGTCATTGTGTGGATGATAACAGCTGGACTCTAGTGGAGCATCACCCTCACCTAGGATTAGGTAGGGAATGGTTAAAGGGGTGGCGTGGTTACCTGGGGACGTGACGGGTGGTTCATGTGAATGCGCTTTCAGCTGGATCGTTTCCTTTCTGCTGCTTTTATTTGTGACGTTAGCTGAAGCCACATACGTGCCTTTGTGTATTGCAGTTTGTTGTGTTAAGCCTTTCTCTTGTTTCCCATCTTCTATTTTTATTTTAAAAAATAACAGTAACTGTCTAATCCTCACGCTAGAGCTCTGTTGCTACCTTGCTGCGTCTGAAGCTATTGCACATAAACAGCTTAGGCAAATTAAGCCTGATCCATGGAGCTGGTCCTGTGAACAGCTCAGCTCATCACCAGTCGTAGCCCTGGACTAGCACACTCGGTTTCACATGCCCTCAGCAGTGCTTATGAAAGCTGGAGTGGGGGCTGGAGGAGAGCAGGGGGCAGCCAAACTTGACCTGGGGAAGGAAAAGCAATGGCACCACCAGGTACATGGGCAGACCCCAGACCAGTGGTGGCATCTGCTCCCCAGGCAGCATTCTTCACCTGACTGGAATTAAGGTGTCATGGTTACAGTTCCAAGAAGGCAGCAAGAAGAAAAACTGTGGGGAATTAAATAACACCGCAAGTCGGTTTAATTACAGAACCCGAAAGAATCTTGTGTTATTCAGTCTTGCTTTTCCTGTTATTTTGTGGATCTGATGAGTTGCGTGGCTGTGATGCACAGCATGCGACTATATATTGCTCAGATGTGCTGTCTAAAATTCTTCCATAGGATAACGCTTTAGAAAAGTGTAGCATTTGGAGTATTAGTCGAAATGCTTAATGGTGAGTCTTTTTCTAGAAAATAAAGGAAGACAAACTGTAAGCTGCAGTCAACAGCACTAGGACTGTGACTGCTGTCTGTAGCTAATAGAGTTCTTTAGTTCTAAAAACGCAATTCAGAATCCTTATGAATAAAAAAGAATTTGCTGGAAATGTAGTGCCCCACGTTGACATTGCTTAACACAGATTCACTGCTCCACAGAATAGCACTCGAAAAAAGAAAGAAAAAAAAAAAAAGAAAAAAGAGGAATCGTTGGATATTCTGATTATTCAGGGATTTTAATTGAGTATCTCTCCTAATATATAAATCTTTGAAAAAATTAACAGGAAGCGTTTGTATATGGCTGTGGTATACTTTCAGTTTTGAGGATGTAGGATGAGGTGAAGAATTAAGGTATAAATTACAGAATCTTTATGTCCTTTGCTTCATGTGCCATATGCACACTTGAAACAGCCTTTACAAATGTTGAGTTTTATCAATGCTCATTAAACTACCAGGCTCCCTTTTGCTATATTCCCTTTCCCATCATTGCTGATTACCAAGGTATTGTGTAAACAGAAGCCTTCTCCTTTGTAACCAACATCCTTCTCCTGCCAGATTCATTCAATGATGCCACAATTCAGTGTTTGTGACATCACAATAGCTTCCATGGTGACTAATTGTGCTGTCAAACTCTGGTGTGTGACATCTCTGAATGAAACGGGCAGGAGGCTGATTAGGAAATCAAAAGCTTCTGTTTACACACAAATAACTTGGTAATTAACAATGATGGGAAAAGAGCAAGATACTTATCAGCCGCATTTATATACATTAGAGCCTGCCTGTCTCGGGGCTCTCGCTCTCAGAGGAGCACAAAGGCTGTCCCACAGAAGTAGGGGTGTAGGCGATGACGCCAGCAGCCACCAGACTTTGTCCCCAGGCTCCATAGCTGAAGGCCGCGCAAAGCAGCGCATTGTTTGAGGGCGTAAAGTGAAGGTTTCAAGTATCGAAAAGACACTATACAGAATTTACATGTTTAGTGTTTGAAGAGATGTGGGCAGAGAAGGGGATAAAAATTCATCTTTTGGGGACCAAAGCATTCACTACATATGTTGATACGCAGTGAATTTCATATACCAGCTTCTAGGCGTTCACCCTCTTGTGGTTGCAGTTTGAGTTCTGCTATGTGGCTGCATACTTTCAGGTTCTTGGTGACCTAAGTACCTCCCTATGTATGTCAAATACTGTCAGATTAAGGTACTAATCTCCTCACCTCAGGTGAAGATACCAGTAGCTGACCGAAGTTCCATATTTGTCCCTCTAAAATTAAGATAGCACATCTGATGTAGCAGAAGTATGAAGCAGTGATGGATTGAGACTTAGCAGTGTGGAAGGAAAAATGTTTTCAGAGCAGCGAGAATCCTGTGATCCTGTGTTTCTATAGAAGACACATTGAGATATCTTTGCTGACTTGATGCTGGAGGTGGCAATCCAGAAGCCCAGCAAAAGAAGCAAATTCCTTTCATTTAACATCTTTTTCTTGGGCTTCCTAACGTTGGTTTCAAAAGAGTTCTGTTTGCAGAACCAGTTCATCTTTTAGTACTGGGCAGACGGAGGACAAGACTAAATCTTCAGTGCCACTGTGTAGTTATCACTATGGTGATCTTCTAGGTCCCAGTTTTTAAGGAGCCTTCTTCTAACTGGTTCCTTTCTACACATACTCAATTGTCTTCCAAACAACATGCATGCTTGCAAATAGCAGCTATTGGATTGCACAGATTATTTTTGCTTTCACTGGAGGCAATGGTGGCAATCTGTTATGAGACTTGCTTAGATTTGACATGTGTAAATGATTGCTGCTGCTCTTTGCAACTAGTATCTATCTAAAATGCTTTGTGGTCAAGATGTAAGCAGTGTGAAACTTGATCATGTTCTTTCATTTGTATCTGGAAATATACCCAAGCTCTTCTTAAAATGTGCTGATCTCCTCGTGTTACTCCAATCTTAACTATCATTAATTTAGGAAGGGGATGAGATATCTGTATTAGAAATTAATAGAAATAATAATGCAGAGTTTCATGTATATATTTTTTGTTTACACGTGTACTGAATGTGATTTGCTTTAATGTGAACAAATTAAAAGTGTAACCCACACTGCTTGCTAAAATACAAAAACAGGGTGGGCTTTTTCACAATAATTATGGGACATGCCTGTGTGTTGTTCAGTATGGAATCTGACTAATTTTCCCACCTTGTGTCAGTTCCACACTTCTGTATATGTCTAGTTGGTAATGGAGGGCAGTTTGGAGGAAAAAAGAAGTATGTTCTGTCTCTCCAGCACCTCCTTAGAGGAGACTGAATTGATCCTATCTGATAAGGAAAGAGATATTTCTGGTCACTTGTGCTGCAATGACACTTGAAGACAAACTGACCAATTGAACTTAACAGGCTGACATCTGCGCTTCTGGTTTTGTAGAAGAAAGCTCAAAGCAGGGATGAAGTTTAGTTGCTGGCATGTCCAGTGGCATTCCATACCACTTTTACTAACCAAGTACAAATTGCCCAGGACTTCCAAATGTTCAGCCATAATGGAATAGTAGCAAGCCAACCAAGACTAACTGCCTTTTACACACCTGATCTATGAATGCCAAACTGACTACTGTTCTTCTGTACTGCAGAAGAAAGGAGACATGGTTTGTCCTTGCCTTTAGGCAATTCTACAGTGTGTTAGGAAAGCAAAGATCACAACTTTGTGAGGTAACAGAAGCATCCACCAGTAGAACATTTCTTTCAGGGTTCATGTTGTGATGAAGATTACTATCAATATAACTTAGTGAATTTTTGGAGCAAAAAAAAAAAAAAAAACCAAACAAAAAAAAACCCTACATCAGAAAGACCATCCACCCTTTAAGTCCCACCATTTTCCTCATGGTGTGAAGAGAGGAGATTTGACCTAAGCGGTTTTCTCAAACCATGACAAGAGCAATAAATCAGTGGCAGTATTTGAAACTTCACCTGTGAAGCCTCTCGATAATGTAGAGGGATTCAGGTGATGAGGACTCTGGTAGTATGAAATGCCGTTACGTTATATCAGTGGTAGTGTTCCAGTGTACATTAGTCAAAGAACTATCCCTAGAAGTGGTGTTATGGCTAATGCATTAGGAAGCAGCTCTTAATGTAAAAGCCACCAAATGTGGAAAATTTTCAGTGTTAACTTGTTGAAATGCAATCTGTAGCAAAGCTGGACATTGGAAAAGCATGGCAAATTCTGAGTTCATCAATGAGGTGGTGATGACTGACAGTCTAAGTGCAGACGAAAGACAATGGGATCATTCAGAGAGGAGTTAAATTTTCAAAGAACTTAACGTCATTATGCCAACTCAGATAATTCCTGTGACATAAAAGAACATGCTGCTTTTTGAGATACCAGTTGCTCTATATCCAGAATATTCCCCAAAAGAACCTGGGTGGCTGCTTGGTATTTCTAATCGTGAGAATGCAGGGATACAGGAATATGAAGTGGGGAAGGGGCTATCCAAACTTTTTTGGTCAGCCAGTCATGTGATTCGGATAGAGCTATGTGAAAGTCATTTTTTGTTTGACCTCACTTTTTATTCCCTATTATATATGAGAGGAAAGTACTGGCTACGAGACTTTTGAAGAACGTTACATATTTTCTTAGAAACTTTTGAAGATTTGCCAACATAATGATTTCATTTAGTAGTGTACACTTAGGCCAGTTGCCCTCTTTTGAGTTACTGCTTTCAGTGAATTGGATTTGTTAAGCTATCTGATCATGCTTTGATGTGTCATTCTTTTGACCAAAGAAGTAGTGGTTATGGGGAGTTACCTTGTAACCAAATGTAGAGCAGAAAATTGCCCTGTCATGTGTACAAAACATTTGTCTCTGTCAGTATTCTTGTAAAGTAGATCCTGTGACCTTTTTCATAATAAACCCCATTGTCTAGCATCTACAATAAAGGCCTGAAGTTCACCTTGAAATGAACTATTTTAATAGAGCGTAGTCAAATAAGACACTGTATTTCCACTATAGTTCAAGACCTAACAGTGGCCTTTTCACAGTTTTTCCCCCTTAAATCTTTCCACGTTTCCAGTTCCACAGCAAATAGAAAAAAAAACAAGGCAGAGATTAGTGTGTATTTTTTAAGCTACTGACAGACAATGAAGCACACAAAAAAATCTTGCTTCTTCTTTTCTCAGAAGTCCATTCTTGTGTAGCCCCAGCGTAGGGTATTTTTAACAAACTCTGCCATGTTGCATTAAACTTCGTAATACTTAAGCCCTCGTTCTTTTAAAACCTCATGACAGTATGATTTGAGAGCTATAAAATGCTTTGTTAACTTCAATAAAGATAATGGAATTATACTAAGTTGCTTTCACTAATATTCTCTGGAAGTTTATTTTGCTTCTTTTTCTAGTTGGTTGTGTGTTAACATTATGTTCTTTTTCCACAGAGAGATGCTTGGAAGATCATGAGCTCATAGTTCAAATTGAGTCCACAATGGGAAGTGAAAGTAAATTTTTGTTCAGGAAGAATTACGCAAAATATGAATTTTTCAAAAATCCCATGGTAAGTCTTTCTACTTTGTTGTTTGTACCACAGAGGAGAATGGGTTGCAGTAACAGAGATGGGCACTGCTAGGTCTTAGAATATCTATTTAAAAAAACAAAACAAACAAACAAAAAAACACAACAAAACCAAACAGAAATCTTTCCAAAGAAATTGTAAGTGATGTATTCTATTCCCAGCCTAAAAGCCTCAACTGTTTTTCTATGTTGAGGCTTTATATACTTGCTTATATACTTGTTCAAAAATCACCATTGCTGTGTTGGAGTGTCACCAACACAGAAAAATCTTTACTGATTCAAGAAAAACATGCAAAAGTGAAATTTTCTTATTCTTTCCCAAAGTTCCTTGATTTGATGCAAGTTGATCAAACAGTATACAGTTTATATATATATATATATATATATATATATATATAAAAATTTTTAATTTCTGAGAGTAGTACTAAAAAAATCTCTTTGTAACCCCTTGTTATATACAAGGAATTTACAATTCTTCATTATATATATATGTTGAACGTTGTCTCCCATATGGCTGTGCTTTACTAGCGTGCTCTGCCTTTGCTACTTGTTGAAACTCACCCTCTCCATGCCCTCATGTTTATCCATGTTAGAAAAGTAAGTGGTATATCATAACTGTGTGTAACACTACTCTTATCATGCCCTTAGAATGATGTAATTTCAACTGTCTGCAGTGTAGTTGCTTATTTCGGAATTACTTCTCAGATTTTATCTGAACAGTTAAGTGGGAGCAGGCAAGTGATGTGAACCTATGTCAGTTGGTGCAACCCATCTAAACAGTTGAAGGGAGGACAATCTAAAGAAGGTTTAGATTAGAACAGATTTTGTGTCAGTCTGGCATTTCTGGTGCCAGAAGCAAGAAGATACCTGAGGTCACATGAAAACTCATTGCAGAAGTTATTGCAGGTGAGAAATTAATTTCCTTTCTCACGGACACTCAGGCACAACTGCTGCATCCTCACATATGTTCTTCCACATACGTTTGTCATTTCTTAGTGCTTGCTTTAGAACCCATGCCTTGATTTACTGCTTGAAACCTTGCTGCACACAAAATGTTTGTAATTTTGCACTTCTGTTGAACTTCCCATCTGATAACCAATGAGCACCTGAGTGTTTTACAGAACGTTTGGTATCATAAGAGCTAGCACGTAGTTTAATGTGGTATGCTTTAATTAATAACAGAGTAGGGGAGTAAGACGCAGAATGCTTGGCATTCAGTCCCAGACTCTTGCAGTCTGAGAATAAATCATTCTTTTGGTTTAAGAATGCAAACGCTTCCTATCCATTGCATTAGCTATTGCCATATGGCACTGTTTCTTCTCAAAGAAGCTGGTAAATGTTAGCTTTCGTAATTCATTGTGCAACCTACCTGGCAGAAGAGTGATTTCTCTTCAGTGCTTCTCTTTATGCCTGAAAGACTGAAATCTATATTGCCTGAAGAGTGGTAATGTTTTCAGCTAGAACATTTTTTGTTGTTATTCATTGTGTTGTAGTCATTTTATTTCAGGCATTTCTGTATGTCTTCATGCTTGAAATAATGTTGAAATATTTCAAGACTGATTTAATGGAATTGTACTGAATTACATGAGCATTTTTAAACATGGTAAAAGAAAAGGAGAAGGAAAAGGAAAAAAATGTAAATCAAGTAATCTGTTTAGCAAGGAGCTGTTTGACTTTTGTGATGTAAAGATTCAGCACGAATGAGATATTGTGAAGAAAGCCTGAAAATTAAAATGTCTGCAGAAGCACCCTGTTTTTGTGTTAGGCAATATTTGCTTTGTGATGACAGGATGGGGGAGAAGAGAATAGATGCTTACTTTGACATTATTCAAATGTAGCATACAAAGCAGGGAATGTGACATCAATCAGAATCGTTGCATTTGTCCTTTTTAAGTTTTTAGTATTTCATTTCCTAGAACACGCAGCTGACTGGTCGTTACAAGAAAAAATATTGGGCTGTTTTATATCATCCTGAACTGCAAATAGATATAAGAGTAGGTTTTACAAAAGATGGATTGAAAAGTTTGAAGTCCTGAGTGTAAGCTCACTGTTGAACAACCATCTGAAAGCATCAACAGTCACACATAAGCCTTTTTTCATACTTAAAATCTGTGAATGGCAATTCTTGTGAAGTGTTCTGATGGAACTGAGCAAGTTTTAGGTTCGGGCAGATGCAACGCTGAAGAACTCTATTTTGAATAAAAGGAGAGTACTATTGAACGTAAAAGTACTTACTGGAGATTCTGCAGCATTTCCACATGAGATCTCTTTTAATGCGTTTTCATCCTGTTTGGCTCTGCAAGTTAGAGATATCCTTTCATTTCTCCTGTTCTGCAGGCAAGTGGAGTTACAGAGAGTTTGTGATAGCCTTCCTGGATAGAGAGGTAAACACTGAAATTCAGTGACAAAATGTGCAATAAACAAGAGATGTTGAGTACCCAACCTGCAGGACCACTTTTCCTGTCCCTCCCTAGAAAGTAGAGGCCTTTAAAGACCCAGAAAGCCCTCAGGAGAAGAGGAAGCATTGGGAAAATGAATTTAGGAAGTACTGTGTACAAGATGTTTAAAAATCCAGATTCTGGCTGCATGGCCTCATGGCTTACAGTTTTGGTGACCAGAAGGAAGGAAAGAATGGCACTTAAAAGCCCTGGTATTACTTTGTGTGAAAAGAGATCTCCAAATTTATTTAAGAATGATAGTTTGATAAAATTATGACTGGAACAAAATTTCACTGATTCTATATAAAAATGTTCAAATATAGTATGACTTACATTTGTTTTCTTGTGTTTAGAATTTCTTTCCAGAGCAAATGGTTGCCTGGTGCCAACAAACAAATGGCAGTATTCCACAGTCACAACTTTTGCAGGTACTGTAAGTTATCTGTGTGCACAAGGTTTTGGAACTGTAAAGGAGAGGTTAGGGGAAAGGGGAGGGGGAATTCAAAGATCTAGAAATGGCTGGTTGGGGAAAGACTGGTTAGTTAGCATGTATTATTAATGTTGAACCTGACAAAGAGCTAACTCATTGGCCTTGAAATGTAAGGTACAAAAAGTATTCATAGCTGCATTCATATGTATTTGTTCCATGGTTATTGAGCTTTCTCAGGTGAATGCTCTGTGGGTACCCACAGGCAGCCACCTCTGTATTACTGTCACAAAAGGACTTACTTTCTCTCCTTTTCTAGTGTTTTTGTGCTAGTAGCTGCTACCCCCCTTGCTGACTTCTGTCAGTAGTTCAGATAGAAGTCCTAGATTATGCTTTGGATTCCTAATCCTTACACACCAAAGTAAGTGCATGCAGATAGTCACAGAAAACTAGGTGTAATATTTGTGAAGTTACCCCACATAAAGCTTCCCGGTCCAAATTACAGGTGTGTGTACCCTGTGTATGTGTGTTGTTAGAGTTCTGTAATCTGGGTGGCAGTGACTTGTATGTGCCCTGAGTTTTTACTGAAGTTTTGATGTCACTGTACAGTTTCTTGCTTGCTCATGAAGGAGCTGTGGTGCAGTCAGTTAATCTTTGAGGACAATGCAGAAGGGTTACCACCCTGACCTGTAGCTTGTTCACTTAAACCTTACATTAAAGCACGCCATCCTAAACCATCTAGTCAAATCTTCTTCACCGTAAGTCTTTTTCTCAAACAGGAGACATTTAACTCACAGGTGTGTTGAGGCCAAATTAAAACACACTGTTAAATAATACCATATTCAGTGTGTAAGACAGTGGTGTCTGGAAGATGTGAATAACATGTACCATGAATAGCACGGGAAAATTATAAAGCAGAAGGCTCAAGTATATGAAGAAAGTACAAATAACTGTACTGATTTCTGTCATTTTGCACATATGCAAATTCACACTGACCTTGGTAAAATTGAATTTTCCACTCACTTTTGAACTAGTTTGCTCATTTTGACCTCTAATCACTTTAAAATCTATTAAATACTGGTTCCATTTTCACCAAAAAGAGCTTAATGCACTAGCATGCATTTTTGGGGGAAACAAAAAGATAGTTTCTGTAATTAAAAATGAAAGTCACGTGCAACAAAGTCAAATGTCCTTGGGTCAACTTTGCACTCGTACTTCTCTAATTAGGACCCAGCTTTTCATGGTGCGCTAAATACTTCTAGAGCAGGAACTTCTCCTTCATATTGCCACGCAAGTACTTCATGGCCTACTTACTCAGTCTGGGTAATCTGCAGGGACGTGGGCCAGAGAGAAAGCACTCTTAATGGGCAAGCACTTTCCAGTGCTTCATCTTGTGGTTATCAGGAACCCAAACTGGTAGGAATAGAAGTGAATACACCTTGGACTCTTCAGCAGTGTTAAGTGTGGAATCAAATTTGCTTGTTAGGATGAGGAGAAGGACTGACTAAAAGACCACGAAATTTTGGAAAGTTTGGAGCCTAACGCAATTTCATAGGAAAACTGTACAACATTGTGAAATAGGAGAGTTGATTCCAGGAAGGTTCAGTTAGGTGCAGTCCCGGAAAAGCGTTGACTCATGGGGATTAACAGTGCAAGAGATTTGGGCAGAGAGCATGGATACATTCTCTTTAGTTTGTTGTATAACTGTAAAAATCAATCTTACTTAAGACATTTATATTAAATATCCCTTTGTTTTTAAAAAAAACATACAACTGTTTTTCATAATTTCAGTGACCATTGTAATTTGTTGAAGGTAAACTTCCTGCAATCTAGTAGTCATTAAGCATGTTGCATCCAAGGCTACCTCAAACATCGAGTGTATGAGCTGGTTTTTTAGTTACACAGAATATAGCAAAGAAATAAAGCATCATGTCAGAATATCATGTGCAGCTTTAAGAGCTATTATTTCTAGTCTTAACAATAGCATTAATAATGGTGGGATCTGTTTTCTCTGATGTTAGGCTTGCTCAGATATACAAAAATCTTGCATCTTAGTTTACTTTTGGTTTTACCTACCTGGACTATAACTTAGCTGCCTTTGGAGAGAATATTACCTTCCTTTGGTCTCTAATTTCCAGAGCTGAGAAGATGATTTATAGTATAAATAGCAAGAAATTTGACTATGCTTTTCTAGTCTATCTAGTTAGATAAGATGTTGGGAAGGGAAATGAAAAACGAGTACATTTTAATGCAACTAAGAATTCTAACATAGGGCAATGGTTTTTGGTTTGTTTTCTGTGAGCGTTGCCTACCAAATAACACCAAAATACAACATTTCAGAGGCATCTAGACCAACAGGTTTTATGAATTTTTCTTCCTATTACATGAATTCATTAAGAGTTTGGCATTTAAATTATTTACCAAGCTCTCTGTCATTTAAAAATCTAGCCCGCTGTAGTAAAGGAACAATCCATCAACTGGCTAACCATAGTTAATACTTCCTTCCTTTGACATACGGCAAATGAAATGATTCCATATGTGGTCCTTCTAATTATGCCAAGAACTTAACTTAAATACTTCTGGATCTGGAGGTGTAGTATCATTGCTGACATTTATTTTACTGCTCTGAGTTTCTATTTGAGTTATGTACTCTGTTGTCACAGAATTGCAGGGGTTTGGAGGGGCCTCGGGAGGTAATCGAGTCCAACCCCTGAGGCCTGTCATTCCTCTTGCCCTGGGAGAGGTGCATATATGCTGAACAGGACTTTGGTTTGGGAAATCCTGCAATAGGCTGTTCCCACTCTAAAACTTTGGATGAAGTTGGGCAGATTTTGGCCAATATTTCTAAGTTAGATTAGTTGGCTGAATTGTATGGACGAGATATTACTTTCTTTAAATAATGAATATGCATGCTTTGGGTCCTTTCAGGTCAAGCACAAGTAGAATGAGGATACAGAGAAGGATTTATTCTTTTGGAGATTTAAGTATTCACACAGAAAACAGAAAAATGTCATGAACTTGAACTGATTGTTTTTACCATACTATAGAGAAACCTGCTGTATAAAAAACACTGAGATTCTGCTTCAGAAACACCCTAATTAAGGCTCCTGCTTCACATCTGCATTCAAACCAGTCCAACTGTAGCTGCCAATGGTTGTTGCTGTTCTGTGCCCCTGGCTGTGCAGCCAAATTACCTCGAGTTGAAACTCTGTGGAGACTGGATGTCTCAGCACGTTTCATTTATCTGTCAGGACATCAACTATTCTGGGTTGGGGAGGGTTTGAACAGTAGTTCATTGGGCTTTGCATCACTAAAGCTGCTAGTCATGGCATAAAGGAAATGGCAGAAAGTTAGCCAGGTAGATGTGATAGCAGGAGAAGGAATGTCCATTTTGGCTGTAAATCAGTTTAAACATGTAGGTTAATTTAAGCATATAGTGAAACTAAGCCCAAAGTCAATGAAGTGACTTGCAATTTGCCTGTCTTTTCTGCAAAGAAAAATGTCAATTTTATGATAAATGTGTAGGACAGTTATCACGTCTGTTTTCTTCTTCAACAGAACTTTCTAAACTCCAGTAGCTGTCCTGAAATACAAGGTTTCTTGCATGTGAAAGAGTTGGGTAGGAAATCATGGAAGAAATTGTATGTGTGTTTGAGGAGATCAGGACTTTATTGTTCTACAAAAGGAACTTCAAAGGTAAGATTAAAAAAGAAATTGCACACTACTAGCATGTGAAAGGATTTTCTTCTTTTACAGTGAATTTTTTTTTTGCTGCTTTTTTTTTTAATATTTGCACAAAGTGTTTCCCTTTTTATTGCATAGAAAAGGATAAGCAAACCGTGATCAAATGAAAACAAGTCTTTGGCTCTCAGTTTATGACAGTGGCTTTGTAACTTTGTTATATAACAAAACCAACCTAGCCAGACAACAGAATTGTGGTTGCTGAAGTCATCCTAATAAGGTTAGCAAGAAAAATCCTACCCTTCAAACATGTTGATTAATTTATTTTAAATGATACTTCAAAAAATATTTTGCATTATCTAATTTTCAGAGTTTCCAGAAGCAATGAAATAGGCTATGCCATTTTCAATTCAGTGCATTTGAATAAGTATTTTGTCAGCTTCTTCTATAAAGCACCTTAGGCTAGTAGGCTGGTAATTGCAGCATGCAATGTCTGTCCACTTCAGGCTGAGAGGAGCAGAGTGTTCACATACTGCCCTCTGTTGGATGCTGGTCTTTTGAGATTGCAGAGTTTGCAGCAAGGTATTCCAGAAGCTTATTCTTACATGTTCTAAAACACATTACTTCTGCAGGAGCCAAGACATTTGCAATTGTTGGCTGACCTAGAAGACAGCAATATCTTCTCATTGATAGCAGGCAAGAAGTTGTACAATGCACCTGCAGAGTATGGATTTTGTATAAAGGTAAATCTCACAAAGTTCTTTCTGAATACAAGATGGTGACAGTAGCTCAGAGCCCTGCCAGCTAAATGGGATTTGTATCTAAAAGTCTGCAAGTATTCCTGTCAGGAAGACCTGATCTTGAAAGTCTTTTGTTTGGCAGACGTCCTATGAATCTTGCCATCATTTTACATGACATTTTTAACACTTTGTCTGTTGCTTCTTTGGATTGGGAAATTTCTGTGCAGGATTAGCTCAGTGCTGAAGCATGGTGTGCCTGTGAGGTGGCCTTGGTTCACCTTACACATGAAATCATTTTCTTCTAGTACTCTGATGGAACAGGAAAGATTCTTTGGATAGTGAGCACCAAAACTGTGTAGCAGCAAAGATCAAACTGTGATCTTGTGTAACTGTACCATAATTATGGGCCAGAGGTTTGCATTTATTTAAAGTGAAAGATTGTCATGGGAGATAGAAATACAAATAAGCAGTTGCCCTTAAGGATTTTAAAACTGTTGTGCTGATGGATATAGGATTGCATTTTTTGCAAGAATAACCAGAACAGTTCAGAAGAGTTATTAGCATTTAGAATTATTATTAATATTGCTTCCTTTACAGATACTCATTCTCTAGCACATGCATATACTTGTACGACTTATTCTTGTAGAGGAAGAAGAGTAAAGCATAGCAGCATAAGCTATCTTTTTCCTGATCGGATTGCATCCAGAGTTGTCCCTTTTATGTACTGCCACCGAAATGTCAGAAAAAAGTACTTTAAAGCTTCATTTTCTGTCAAGAAAATATGGATGGGAGCTGGTTTTATTGACAGAAATGAAGTCATCTCCTTCCTAGCAACTGTTCTTGAGCTAGACTGTATCGGTTTGACTTAGTAGAGGCTGGCTAAGGATATGTATTGAACTGATGGAAGCAGACATTTGGAAGGTACTCAGTGGGAAGAGCCCGAGCATTCTCTGCAGGACAGCATCATGGCAATGTAGGCATTTCTGGTCCATTCAGGACAAAGCCTTACAAGTACTGGGCACTTAATTTGTGGTCAGCTTCAGAAGCTGCCACTATCAGCAACTGAGTGCATTAGGTTGGAAAGTTGTGAGGGGCTGATCTGTGATGCTTGCAACATGGAGGCCCATATGTGGAGATGATGAGAGTACTGCTCAGGGAGATACATAAAAATCTGAACATAAACAGCAGGAAAAGCTTTAAACTGTAGGAGAGCTTCCAGAGTGAGTGATGACTGTATTGGAATGATGGTAGTACAGCAAAGAGGATATGGTAGGGAAGGATCTGGTCTCCATATCTGATTCTTGAAGGCTTCTGAGTGGCTTAGGATCAGTTACTGAAACTTTGTGTTTCCAAACAAACAAAGAAGAGGTACGCTCTTTGTTTCTCATTCTGAAATGACTTGAGTATGTTGTTCCTATAAACTGCGAGAGTTGCAGAGTATTACAGAGCTCTGAAGTTTATCTTGAAAGGAATTTCATTCAAAATTTGTTCAGCTTCTTATGAGCTTGAATTCAGGACGATGTAAGCCTTCTCTGACCAGTTTGTAGACATATACTATACTTTACAATAAATTTACAGTGTTGTTGGTTTTTACTGAATGGAGCTGAATTCTTTCTAATCCTCTGTAGCCCAACAGAGTAAGAAATGAAACGAAGGAACTGAGGTTGTTGTGTGCTGAAGATGAGCAAAGTAGGACATGCTGGATGACTGCCTTTCGACTCCTCAAGGTATCAGATTTCTTCTGTAAATAGAGCTACACCTGTTGTCAAGTTGCAGTTGCCATTTTTTTGCTCATTAAAAAATACTTACGTGTTCTTGAATATCATCTACCTCCAAAATAACGGCTAAGAGCAGCATGCCATATAGAACTGTCCCTCCTGAACTTTTAAGCACTGCACTAAGATGAATCCTCTGTGCATATGAATCCAGTATAATTTCAGAGTTTAAGGCAAATGTATGTGAATGAACCAACAAAATTGTGTAACAGTTATTTGCAAGTACATAAAGAAAACATTTTGATTATGGTAAGTGAATATCTCACCTAGAACAGAGTGCTTTCTACACACTTCTTAGTTTTTTCAATTTTTGAAGGTTCAAAAACAAGTTAAATAACAAAAATAAGCCGCTCTGTCTCTATATTAAAGCTATTCATACCTGAGATTAAATAATTACATTTCTTGATAATGTGGAAAGAGGCTTCCCAGTACTTTTTAAACAGAATCACTGTAGGAAGTACTCAGGAGAAAGTTGGTTGTTTTGTGCTGTTTGTAGCAGAAGTTATTTTCTTTTCTTTTTAAATCTCTTCCTGAGGATGCTGCCTCAAAAACAACTATTACTTTTTTCTTTCTACCAAAATCCTACATCATGTTAAAGGGAATATACACCTATAAAAAAATAAAATATATAAAATATGTACCAGTTCTCTCTAATGCGTTGCCCATGAAAATTCCACTTACCTTCCATGCATTTATCCTATCTCTAGTATTCAGTTTCAAAATCTAACAAAGAAATGTAATTTTAAAAGTATGGGCATGTAGAAACTGGTACTATGGTACCCCATACTAGATACACATCCACCAAAACAGGAATGGAAACACTGAACTCAGTCAACTTTGGCTCTCTCTGTAGTAAGCATATAATTCCGGATACTTGGAAAGGGCTAACCACAAAATCCCTCTATTTTATGTCATGGAGCAGGACTGGCCCCAGACACTGCAGTGGGAATGAGGCCAGGATGTGGTCCTTCTTGGACACCGTGTGCTGTCTGTGACTGCTGTCTGCCAAGCTGTGCCCAAGATGTTTTGTCATCGTTAGTGCTGCAAGGAAGCTGCTAGGATGGGAACACAGCTTCAAGGCTATGCCAGGAGGCCCTTGAGGCTGCTGTGGGCTCCATCTGCTTGGTCTCTCACCCAAATGACTACAGTTCCTTTTCCTGCCTAAGCAGCAGGCCACATCAGCAAAACCTGTGTCTTCTGCTTCACTCCAGACCTCTTCAGCAAAATGCCCTTCTCCCCATCAGTGTTGCAGGACCACCTGCTGAAGGCACATTTCCACACTGGGACTAAGGTGCTGATGGGGAGCAGGTGTGTCAATGAGTATGTGGTTCTGTGGCTTCCTGGTGCAGAGGAAGAGCTCCAGAGATCATGGAATCATTAAATCATAGAATTGTGTAGGTTGGAAATGATATTAAATATCATCTAGTTCCAATCGTCCTGCCATGGTCAGGTTTACCAACTATCAGGTTGCCCAGGGCCCCCCATTCAGTCTGGCCTTGAATGCCTCCTGGGATGGGAGTGTGTTTATTAATGTCTTTTATTTCCCCCCACACACCTTTCAAAATTTTGTCTTATTAGACAGTTCTTAAGATATGACAAATGTTTACTACAGCTACGACTGCCTTTCTTTGGGTAGACTGTGTATCATGCAAAACCCTGTAGAGGCAGGGAAAGCAAATTAGACATCTAGGCCTGCAGGTATGAAATCACAAAGTTCTGGTCTGCTGCCTATTCTCCATTTACATTGAGTCATCTTCCAAACCAGCACGTCTCTGAATGATCTCCAAATATTGCCTGGTTTGTTAATTGTAAGAAATTCTTTAGAAATTGCAGTACAGAAATCCCATCCCTATTTTAACTTTTTACAAAAGAAGAAGGTGTACTGGTTATAGGTGTTTTGGTTATGGGCCAGGAACGAAGAAACAATCCTAGGTACAATTTCCATATTTGTTTTCTGAAAAGTTGATAACGTTGTTGGCCCTCATAATCTAACGTTCACTGTGTTGACTTGACTCAAATTTAATACAGTATTTTATTTCCATGTCACATCCAGATGCTTCTTGAAGGTTGTTGTTACTGTTGATTGTTGTTATTTCTGATTTTATACATAATTTTTCATTGTGAGCAAACTGCAGAAAGAGTGGATCAGTTAATTGTAGTGAATTGTGCCTTGAGGTTATCATTTATGGTATCTTCAAAAGAGTGAAGAGTTTAGGTACACTGCTCAACACACTATGATCCTGGAATAGCAAGGAAGAACCTCCCCAGTGTAGAGTTAGCTATTCATACTGAATGTGTAGACATGCATTTTACATGTTCAGAGGCGTCTTTCTTTGCAGTGCAACCTGTGGCAAAAACAGTATGGCATTCACTTTCTGTGCACTATTATCTAACATTGACCTTAGGCACTTAATGCTAGGAAAAAAGATTTTGTTCTTAAGAAACAGTGAAAGGTGATTAAAGGTGTGTAGTCAGGGAAAATTAAGGTTGTGCCTCGTGGCTACGGCTGTGGCTCTTTTTATTTACCTACAGATTCAGCTTTTGGTAATCATACAGTTTTACCTCATTAACAAAATTACATATACAACTTCAATTAGAATATTCTGTAAGCAATGTTGATATACTTCAGCTATGTCCCTCTTGGGAAGGCACTGAATAGGTGTTTTCCTACTGTCCTAGCTACTAGTGTTTCTAAAATTGATCTCAGTGAAGGAGAGACATGAGGAGTTCACTCACTTTTTAAGGATGAGAAAAATAATGGAAGTGTTACTTTCTGTCAAAATATATTAAAACATCGAGTGAATTAGAAAGCATTATAACATTATGAAAGCTGAGTTCATCTTTGTGTTATCTTTTACTAAACTTCTTATGTGTATATATATATTTTAATCTCAAATTATTGGAAGGTAAGAAGAGGAGGAGGTGATATCTGGACTTTGAGTGAAAGCTCGTATTCCATAAGGAATATAATGTTAATAGCTGAGAGTGGCAGAGATGAGCTGTGTATTTTGCTCAATCTTGTAGAAGTGCTATCTTTTAAATAAAGTTATTGTGCATACTTATTGCTCTGTTCCACCTGCCAATCACTATTCCTCAATGCAAATTGCTCTGGGACAGTTTCTGATCATGGAAATAAACTGACAGCACCTTGTTCCAGTGTAAGTGGAATCACTACAATTTTTTTTTTCTAGGGCATACCTTTGAATAACAATTTATTTGCTTTTTTGTTAACAGTATGGAATGCTGTTGTATCAGAATTACAGAATTCCCCAGCAGAGAAAAGCCATGCTTCCACACTTTTCCACTCCAGTAGTAAGTAATGAACTTTGTTTCCCTAACGTATCGTGCTTAAAAAGATATATTTACTTTTGCATTTTAAAAGTGGAAAATTTTGCACTAAGAAATGTAAATTCTGCATTATGTAGCAAATCAATGTAAAGTTCACATTTTCTATGAGTACAATTTATGTAGCTGGCTCTCCACTTATCTTAGGTTTACACTATCCACGTGATTGAAAAATCTTGGATATGCCAGGCACTTAAGACATGTACAGCACAGAGACATCTGGCTGTCCCTGCAGAAGCCAGCTTAGGTCTGGCAAAACACACTCTTAAATCTCATAAAAAGTGTTGGGCCAAAAGCTGACTGTTAGCTATCTAAAATTGAAGATGCTATATTTGGATCCCAACTGGCCCTGGAAATGAGTGGGGTATGGTAATAGGGCAAGTGGGCAATCTGAGCAACAGAGACTTTGGATCTTCTCCCTTCCATATGGCCTATAAAGAAAAACCATGTATTTTTATGTCTGTTAATGCTTTTCAAGGAAAAGAAAAATAGCTGTTTCCCATGTTGTTGAAGGATAGCTTTGGAAAGTCTTCTGAAAGCAAAACATTTTGAAATGAAACTCTCTCAAGTTGGTTTTTTCTTTCCCTGTTTTTTGAAACAAGTGAAAATTCCTTTTCAGAGAAGTGTATCTGAAAACTCACTAGTAGCAATGGATTTTTCGGGGCAAATAGGAAGAGTTATTGAAAATCCTGTTGAAGCACAGAGTGCTGCCATGGAAGAAGGACATGCTTGGAGGGTAGCTATTTTCTCTTCTTTTCTATTTTTTTTTTCATCAGTGTCTGTTGAGAGCCAAGACACAGAGTGTGCTATGATACTAGTGCAGTGCTGGTCACAGTATAGCTTAGATCCGACCTGAAACAATCACACTGCAAGCATGCAGATCTGAAAGTCGATATCCATCTTTAGCAAAACTGTCACATTCACAACAACCTTCTACCACTGCTTCTCTGTCCCCCTAGTGTCCAGAGGAAAGTTGAGGGGGAAAGCAGACTCACCAGAACTTTACTGCCAGTTTGCAAAACCAGTCTCTGAGGAGGAATATGTCAAATTAAATGCTTCCCCACATGGAAGAGTCTGGGGCTCTGACTAATGGCTTGCTCCCAGTAAGTTTAATTGCAGAATATACAAGAGGCAGAACCTCTTGCAATGAAAACTGATGTAATTTGTTTATAGTGTCTTGTGGACAGACAGCTGCAGTACAAGTTTTCCCCCATGCTCGTCTCTTAGGGAACAGGAGTCATCACTGAAGCACTAGCTAGTGCTTTATGTATGGGAGGGAAATACTGCCTGATTTACTGAGTGCCCAGTATTTTGCCTGAGCAGAAACATATCAGATTTTTCTTTTTTTTTGTCATATTTTTTCTTTTCCTTTTTTTATTTTAAAGATACTGAGCTTTCACCATTAACATCTGGCTTGCATTTTAAGCCAACTGAACTGAGCTGCTGCTTGTAGATTAGTCCCCTTCAAAGTTGCATTTCTTTTTCTCATCCTTGCATTAAACTTGCCGAGCCCCAAGTTTCCTGTAAATTAAATCTGTATTGCATGTGCACTAATTCTCTTCTGTTGAGGTTTTAGTGTGGATTTAATGGTAATTCATTTTCTCTATAGAAACGTAGCACAAGAATGAACATCTTGGGTAGCCAAAGTCCACTCCACCCTTCCACACTGAGTACAGGTAAATTCTGCTGTTTGTAAGCATAGTGTAAGAGGCTTTGATGAGTAAATAAAAGATCATTTCCTACAAAGATAGAGAGCAACCATGTACTGTTAATGCCTTTATATGAAATACTATGTTTTATGTTTGAGTAACTTCTGTCATTAGTATGCCTACCTCTAAAGACATAATAGAAGAAATGTAGCTTTCTTTTAAGGCACACTTAAGATTTGCTTGAATTTTAATCTTTTGAAATCCAGATTTTACAAAAATTGAGTTTCCAGTAAAAAAAAAATAATCCAAAAGTCAGTTCTTCATTTTAAACAAGGACAACAAGTGATTTGATAATCTTTAAAGTAAGAGTCTTCAAAATAGAGTTTATTCTGTAATGATTGCATAATGTAAAGTACAGATACCTGTAATGTGAGCCCTGAATGTCTCTTTGACATTGTAAGTTTATTAAAGTAATAGGAAATTGCACATTAGTGTCCTGGATTCCTTAAGAGGGAACACAGGTATTCTGAGTTTTTATTCTGCTGAATAGAACTTAAACATATCATCTGAAAAACAATGAAGCAATAATAAAAATATCTGAGGATAACTGCATCCTTGAAAGCACAACCTGAAGTGCTTTTCATTCTTCTACAGTTAAAGGGACTTGGTTCTACCTTGTTAGCTCACATATTGTATTCCAAGAATTGTTCAGATGCAGCATTTTCAAGAAATGGTGAAAGGGCAATGTCTTGCTAACCTGATCGTATATCTGCAAATCCTACAGATGCTGCCTGTGCACTTGGTTTATCATGGTTATGCAACAGCTGGTGCATCTTCTTCATACTGATTCATTTTTTATACTAATCAGTTAAAGACATTTCATGTTCTGCAACAAAACTATACCCACTTTTAAAATGTTTAAATAAATATCATGTGGAAGTAATTGATACACCTTACTGTTTTTTAACCATTGTCTCTTTTCCCTCTCACCTCCAGTTATTCATAGGACACAGCATTGGTTTCATGGCAGAATCTCCAGAGAAGAATCTCACAGGATTATTAAGCAACAAGGGCTAGTAGATGGGTAGGTATTCCTGTTGTTTGGTATTTATGATTTCATGGTAAGTACTATGGACAAGAACATAACTTCTGCTGTAAGGGCTTACAGGTTTGTGAGCACTAATGAGTAACCTGACTCTTAGCAGTCCCACTGTAACTTGCCTGGAATTCTAAAAGCCTGACTACATGTTTGTAGGAGTGAGTTCTAACACTTAATCTGGAAAAAAGAATACACAACTTGTTATTCTTTTGGATGGTTTTTTTTTTTTTTCAGTAGAGGTAATAAAATTTTAGAGAATGTTAGAATTTGAAAATAATTAATTACGTTAACCTGCACTGAGGAAGTATTTTTTCAGGCAAAGCTGTAATTATCCACTTGCACACAAATTTGTAATCGGCTATTTGTGCTTTTTTGCATGTATCAGAGCGGTTAATGATTATTTCTTCCTATTTATTTCTGTTATAGATGAAAGAAAGTACCTGTTCCATTTCTGTAAATTATATATCCTGACATTTAAGTATTTTCTGACCATCTTTGTTGCAACTTAGTTGCATGTAGCTATGGTAATTCTAGGGAAATCCCTTAAATTGGAGTTCAACAATGAATTATTTGTTGGATGAGAAGAACATAGTTGTCTTCATTTCATTGATCCCACTGCTGACAGGGTTTTGATAGAAGTTTCCGTATTGTCTTTTCAGGAGTCAAACGTTGCAACAGCATTTTCTGACTTGGGAGCATAACTAATTTTCTTCATTCATAGCTTGTGGAGGATGAAACACATTAGAGAAATAGTGCATGTGTACATTCATCACATTCATTAAACAGTGTTTTTTATTGTTTTTTTGGTTTTGTTTTTTTTTTTTGTCAGTGTCGGTGGCCGAAAGCTACTGAGATTTGTATGAAAAATGATTTTAGCTAGCAGACCAATGAAAGCAAAAGAGCACTGCTGAAGGCGGGCACAGCTGATCCGTTGAATTTCTGGGTCTCTCTCATAACAGAACTGCTTGGCTATCTTGGGTCCATTTTGACATGATGCATTAAGAATCTAGTAGCCCATGCTTTTTTGACTATTCATACAATCATTGACACCTTTGAGACTGTTCAATTTGTATTCCAGACAACTTAGTCACTATGGAAGGCTGAGATTGGTTAGCATTCAGTTGTAGTGAGGTCATTCAATTACAGCAAAGGAATTGTATTACCTGTGTGTTCTAGGATCTGTAGGTGACAGTTTTCGGAACAAAAAAAGTCTTGTTTGTGTTTTCCTGCTATGCGTGTTCTTGAACAAAGGAAGCTAAAAAGTTAACACTGGGGAAGAATAGGGAAGGCTTCTAGTGGCTCTTGTTAACATGTCCAGCAATGTAAATATGCAGGCGATGCTTCTATTCTTTCTTTGTTTCTTGAAGCTATTGTTGAGGGTATATCTGTATATGCAGTCATTGTTATTGCAGACAGGCTGTTTTTTTGCCAAAGTTGTTGCATAAACATAGAAGTTGCAGGGTCAGTTGTGCTGACCTTGTACCCCCAGTTTATGATACTTTGCATTATCTGAAATAGCTAGTTGAAAAGTAATTTAGAAATATCTGCAGGACCAGCTGGAGTGACCAGTAGGGCAGGGGCAGGTAAGATCTTTCTTGCTGAGATGAATCCCAATTTGTAAAGTCTTAGGTTCCTTTTCCACACATCTTGTCTTACTAGGAAGAAAAAGGAAAGTGAAGCATGTTTTCCAGTAGTGGCAAGACATGCCATCTCTTGGTATTGGAGTGATCCTGGTTACGATGATGCATTTTTGTGGTATTGACATTTCTCAATTGGCTCTGAGGAGCTAGGGTAAGTTCTTTCAGGTCCGTAAAGTACAAGCAGTTCTTGCAACTCAGCCTTGAAAGAGCATGTTCCTGCCTTAGTGGTTAGCCAGTAAGAGGGCTTGAGGCCTGCCCAACTACAACACTTGGCCATCTCACAAGTCCACTTGTGATTAGCATTCTGGGCCTTATGCCAAAGGGATATACTTGTTTCCTGTGGCATGGAGAGGTTCTCCTACCTCAGCTCATAAATGTTAAGGAAAGGAGTCCTTTTTGAGGATTTAAAATGTCTATATACTTTTCCTTGCTAAAGTATAGTTAACTATTTGAAATAGGACTTTGTGGGTCAACTCAGAAGTGACAGTTCCATGGTGTGTGTTGTTGCTAGTTTATACTTCCCAAAGTAAATTATTTTCTGAGGATGCTGAGAGAAAAATAGTCTCAAGAAGGAAAATCAGTGTGTGTTTTCCCCATCCTGGACCTTACTTAAGTGAGAAATCATTTTAAGAAAGTAATGATCTTTCTCTGTGAAATTGCAGCCACTTAGCTTAAATGTAATTTACTAACACTGAAGTTCTGTAAACTAATGCAAGATATTGGAGAATTGGAACAAATTCTTGTATATTAAAATACAAAAGCTTCATGCATACGTAGGTCACTCCGAAAGTAATGCCTCCTACATCAGTTGCTCCAATGGTTTCTATTTCTGTGGAACAGATACAAAGAGCACAATAAACACTATTTGATAGAGCAAATTCTCAGCTAGAAAAAAGACCACTATTAGTTAAGCATTTTCACCAGTGATGAACAAGAGCATGCATGCCTGCACTCGTAAGAATCTGTGCCAGTGCAAGTGACCCACAGTTTCACAGCTGCTATGGTAGTGTTGTTGCCCACACAGCTCATCTTTCTTATGCCTAAACAAATGGAAATCAGAGTGTGCCAAACTGGGACTTTGTGGTGGGTGTGGTAGGACAGTCCAGCCAAGATGGGCAATGTGCTCCACCATCTTCGAACCGGTATAGGGCCTGGTGTGATCATGTTGCAAAGGAAATGTTATCTTCTTCTCTTGCCTGAGTCTGAAAATTTGAGCGTTCCGCTTAGTCAGCATTATGATGCAGCAGTCAGGAGCTGATGGTTTGTTTGGGTTCCAGGAAATCCAGAAGGATCGCCCCTTTCCTATTCCAAAAGACAGTACACATCACTTGTCTTGAACTTTTTCTCTGATGGGGAATTCACATGTTGACACTCCATGAACTGCCATTTTGACTCTGGCTTGTAGTGGTGACACTACGTCTTGTCACCAGTAACAATGCGATCCAGGAAGCTGACACCTTCAGCCTTTTATTGGTTCAGTGTCCTGACAACCTTGCACACGGTGTTCTCTCTGCGTCTGTATTTGAGGTTTTTTGGGCCCACTTGGTGTAAACTTTACAGTGTTCTGGTTTCCCACTATAGTTTCCAAAGTAGTGAAGCTTATATTCAGCTCCAATACAGTTCTGTGGTTACGTTCTGGAGATTCATGCAGATTAGCTTTCAGAATCACAGAATCACAGAATCGTAGGGGTTGGAAGGGACCTCCAGAGATCATCGAGTCCAACCCCCCTTTCACATGACTGCTGCCACTGCTGAAATGCACCAATCACCATCTCACTGTGCTCACGTCCACTGTTCTGTCTCCATAAATGTTCAGCAATTGTCAGTGAATGTCAGTGGGTACAGTTTCTTTTGCATGGAGGAATTCAGTGACTTCATCGCTTGGCTTCATCCACACTTCCACGTCAGGTGCCATTCTGTCAGACTGCCCCTCTGCTGCCATCTGTCGCACAGCAACAAAATGTAATGAAATATTGCCAGGAACATTCAACCTCTACTGTCATACCACCAACGTCTGCCTCTGACATCGTGGGCCAACATCGTAAAATAGGAGGCATTACTTTCGAAGCAGCCCTCATACATAGGGAAAGAAATAATGACATGCATTTTTCACTTTTTCTTCTTCAGTTAGTCTTGCATAAGCCTGGTATAAAAATGAAAAGCAAATTGCCTGTTAGAGCAACTGAAAAAGAGTTAGGCAGTAGTACAAAACTACTTAGTACTTCTGATTATTAATGTAGAAATTGTATTTACTGTGTGCTTAAAAATATTCTTTCCTAGGCTATTTCTTCTCCGGGACAGCCAAAGCAATCCAAAGGCATTTGTACTTACACTTTGCCATCATCAAAAAATAAAGCATTTTCAAATCTTGCCGGTAAGAAACTTTTTTTTTCAAAACTAATAGTAAAAAATAGAACAAATTTTAAACAGACAGTATTGTCATTGTCCAGAGAGGCCTCTTTTTACCTACTAATGGCATGAACAGGCATGTTTCCATTAGGAAATACAATTCTTTAGAATTGTCAAATGTCTGAATAAAATTCCATCTTAACATTACTTGGAAAACTGATTTAAGTCACTGAGGTATAGAAGTAATGCAATATAACTTGTACTCTGTGACTGGCAGCAACAGCCGTACTTGTCTCCATATCACTGAGGCAAACTTAGAATAAGTTACAGGAAGTTTTAAAAATTGTATTTGGAATTTTATCCCGTAATGTTGAGCTTTAAAAAATGTTATATTTGAGATAGTGAGGGCTAGCTGATTTTGTCTCAGCCAGAAAGAGCAGCAAAAGTTTAAGATAATGTAGACCTGCTTATTGGTCCAAACCCTCTCATCTTGTTTGCTTGCTAATTTTGGAAGCAGCCATCAATTATTTTTGTGGTATTTTTGTTTTATGTAAAAGAAACCAGTGCTGTCTCTATAACTTAGAATTACTCTGCCCACCAGCTTTCAATTTTGTGCAGAAAAGATTTCCAGTTGGCTTAGCATAAATTCTTTTCTAGCATTGTGCCTGGTTTCATGCAGAACTCTAGATACTAGGTTTTCTGTGCAGTGCCTATCATTTATGTCATGTCACACAGTTTTACTTGTCCTGTTTTTGCAATGCTTGCATCTTCTCATGTGCTAACTTGAAAAGGACGTTTTATTTCCCCAGTGTGAGGATGATGGACAGATATTTTTCAGCCTGGATGATGGTAACACCAAATTCAGTGATCTAATCCAGCTTGTTGAATTCTATCAACTAAATAAAGGAGTCTTGCCCTGCAAACTCAAACACCACTGCATCCGAGTGGCCTTATGACCTCAAATTTGACTCTCACTGAAGACTGGATTTGCTAGAAGAGTAATTGTAAGAGAACGTTGATACTGGGGAATTGGCAGATTTGTAAGTTGGTAAAAATAAATAAAAATATTATGCACCTTGGGACTCTGAAAGGGATGGATTCGACAGGTGCCAACAGACCAACATTACTGGTTTGTCTAACACCTAAGAGTGATTGCTGCTGAGTGTCCCAGCATCCCAAAAATGGGGGGGAGGGTATGTAAAACCATTAGTAAATTTGAAACAAAACTGGAAACTATCTTGGCTGGGCCACTTAACAGGAACAAGTGTGAAGAGAAATCTTTGAAAAGAACTCTTGCCCTGGAATAATCTTGACAATTAAGACTAGTGTGTTTACTTTTTGTATTGATCACTTTTTTTGCACTCCTTCTTTATTTTGGATATTGTATGCAGCCTATATTAGGAGCTGATGTGGCTTTTAAAATTCATGCAGGAGTTGGGTATTAATCTGCACCCTAAAATGTATGGAATGCTTCAGCCTAAACGGATCTAGAAGAAAATCAAGAAGTGTGTGTGTTGTGTGTCTGTGTGTGTGTGCGCGTGTGTGCGTCTCAAAACTTCTCTGGAGACCTGAGGTTCCATGATCTGCAGATGTCTTTGAAGAAGCAATGAGGATACAATTCTAAAAGAACATACCACCATGCGTGTACTCTCAAAACTGTTGACTTGTAGCATTATGGCTGTAGTATGTTGGTGGCATATTAGTGGCACCCAGTCATGCGAAGACTGTATTAGATTCTATGCACAAACTTTTATTATTGAAGTGGTGATTTGTTTTTTACAGCCTTTTGACTGTTCTCCTGAGGAAACCTACTGTTACTAAATAGAATAGGACTGAATGACAGTTGTGTCTGAAACTACCATTTTTTTGTGAGAAGATTCTTCTGCAGGTAGTCTTAGTTTGGGAAAACGAAAACAAACAAAAAAACAACAGTGTTTTTAGCTTTATAGCTCCTTGAATTTTTGGACTGTTTCAAAGAGCTGTTTCCATACTGTAAAGATACAGTGACACAAAGCTCTCTTGGGGAATAGGGCATAGAAGAAGTATCTCCCTTCTGCTTTTTGATATGGCCATGAAAGTTTGCATGGTGAGAAAGAACGTACTGAGAATGGAAACTCATTTCATTGGGATTTGCAATTGTGAACCAGCTGCTGGCAATACCATCCACGGAGCTAACTGGTGATTCCTGTGTTGTACACACTAATGCACACCGGTACCTACTGCAGACAAGCATATATCCTGCTCTGGTGCTGGTCTGTCATCAGAATTACTTTATTGTTAATGCTTAAATCAATTATTTAATGTTTACACAATGATTCTTTCTGATGATAAATCAGTACTAAAATTAAACGAGTCCCCTTTTACTCCCTTAATTGCAAATAGCATTCTTTGAACAACACAGTCCGTGCAGGAACTGTTACTGAATTAGCTTTCCAACACTTCATGCAGTTATCCGTAGTGTGAAATATTTCACCCTGGGAACTTTCAGAACGTAGTGCAGAATGAAGCATTCTTGAGACGGTGAACAATTTATGCAGACTCGTTCATCTTTATTAATGTTTGCCACTGGGTTTGAAATCCTAGCCATCAGAAAGGGTAGACAGAAGGAAGAAAATTCCACACCTTTAGGTCTTCATGTAGTGTTGAGAATAGCTTAAGACAAACCATAACCTGCCTGAGTCATCCATATCAGCTTATAACTATGTCAATGGTATAGAAACACTGTATTTTAGTTTACAGAACACATTTAGTATTTTTTTTTCCATTTAATGTCTAGATATAAAAATGAAGAAACTTGATTTTGTTTTTAGTAGAAACCTTTTTTTTTTTTTTTAATTGTACATAGTGAAATGAGTGTTCCTGCTTTCTAGACAATGTATTTTAAAACCTTGAAATTAAGCTAACTTAAGTCTGACTTCACTTTGCATGCTTCTATTTGGCCCCTATTAGGAGAAAAACAATACTTGTATTGACTACATTACCAGTTTAATAAGACCATTTATGCTGTAGTTTTAAGTTTTTCTGTTTACATAGCTTAGTGACAGCCATGCATTTTCCCCAGTAGGCAAATAGTACTTGCAGTGTTTCATATTTATAAAAAAAGAAAAAAAGAAAAACTTGCATCTTATTTAAATTCAGAATAAAAGTTTGACTATGAATCATGATTTTTGTATGTAGATGGTTGACTTAGTATTTTGTACTTTTCCCAGCTAAAGTGAGCTGTTTTGAGAAAGTGACCACCTTCAAAGTGGCAACAATCTTACTTAAGCAGATCACTGCTTTGTCTTCTTTCTGCTGGAAAACAGTCGATACCACCTTAGTTTTCCAACAGATTCAGCTGGCTGCCAGCTCAGAATACCAAGGACTGAAGGACATTTGACTCTTATTTTTGTATTTAAATGACATGAATGTAAAGGGGATGCTCAGGGTTGTTTTGGAGCCTGTTGAATTTTTATCTTTTTGCCTGTGATTTTATTTTCTAAATAAATACTTCATGTAGCAATCTTGAATATGTTGAGAAGGAAAATGCCAAACCATTTTGGTAATGAGGTTACTAGTTAAGTTATGTTACGATAGGTGTTAAAAGTACAAAAAACTTTTTATTTGTTAATTAATCTTGAAGAAACACGTGCCTCAGTTTAGATGTTTTGTCTTATCTTTTCTGCACTAAATACCTGACAGTTTGACCAATCAATGCACCTTTCCAGTGGCAAGACTTGCTTATCGTAAATTATATTGTCACAATGCAAGATTTAGTGACTGTAAAATGGAATAAAGTTTAAAGTTTCAGGGAATGCAAAAGGTATTAACTTAAGAGACAAAACCTTTATTCAATATGCTTTGCTTCATACTGTAAATAGCTTTTTGGCTTGTGAACCTAATTGTAATCTTTCAGGTATTTTTGTACAAATAAGGGACTGATATTCTGTTTCTTGTAATTAGAAATAAACGTTAATACAATGCTATTCATTTTATATTGGAATGAATGTCTTCTCTTGGGTGTGTCTGAGTTCACAGCTTATCTCGTCTTAATTCTGGGTTATTTGGGGTGGGTTATCATTAAACATCTCTTAAGAAGAGTTGAAAGGAAAACAAAGTAAGATGCCTCTGTTTCCACTCTTCTGTGGAAATATCTGTGTTCAGTATGTCCTGTATCTAAAGAAGTTGTTCACAACCTTTTGTTTGAAGAAAGTTATTTCAGTATGCATTACATTTGGAACAGACAAGAGGATGGCATAAAAAAAAAAAGGAATCACAGCAAACAGGTGTTCCTGAGTCTGTCCCATGGCAGGGCAGTACTATTATCTGCATGTTTGTGCTACCCACCTGCAACTGTGGCACGTGCAAAATGATGCCTGCAAATCTGGCCTGAGGCGTCTTCCTTAGCAGATACCTGTGCTATCAGAACACTCCCAAGTACAACATTAATCTAGGTCAGAAATGGGAATAGGTAAGAGTTGAAATAATTGTTGTGCCTGATAGGAGGTTTGTGCTGGTGTTACATTAGTTACAGGAAACGGACAGCATCTGACATGATCAGGCAATGTCTGAACCCACATGAAACCTTTTAGCATGAAGTTCACCTTGCAAAATACTGTAAATGCATTTGAACCTCTGAGTAAATTGAAATCAGACAAGTATTTTGCAGCCTTTAATTGCAGTACTTTCATCCTGATGCACACACAGAAGCATAAAATTGTGTTTAAAACCAAATGGCTGCTTCAGCCTTGTACCTGCACAGAAGAACACCACCAGAGGAGCCATTTCCCACCAAGTAAGATGAACTATAGACAACTTCAGACTTAAGTCACTGCTAATTTAGTTACTCTTTAATCTGGTTTGTCAGTGACCAGCTTGCACATTGCTTTGTGACTCAATCATTGATTGTCTGACATCTTGGAAACTTCACAGCAGTTGGAGAAAAGAGATAGTCCTTTGAATATCCCAATAATTTGGGATTAATCTCAATAATCTCAAATATTATATTATCCCTTTCTTCCTTTAATTAGGTTTTGAAAACCTAATACAACCACAACTGTTTCCAAGAGCCATATGATTTTCATTAGATATTGTGGGTAGTCACATCTGAGACCTCAAAATAAATCAGTTTGTACAATACTAATCTTGCAAACTCACAGCCTGAAGACATTCTGCTCTAATTGCTTGTCATTTCAAACAGATGAGAGCAGATGTTTTTACAAGAAATACTGGCTTATCACAAGATGCTAAGCTGTGCCTAGCAGAGTCCTACAACCCTTCTTGGTTGGTCAGGTTGATTGTTTTGCTTTAATTGGGTATTTGCCACATGCTGGCTGCAGGGTTCAGGTGCCTCAAGTACCTATCAGGAAGGTGAAAGTATAAACAAAGCAGGCAGCTCTGAGTCAAGATGCACCCTGGGTTTATCGACTCCAGTGCTGAGCCAAGATGCAGGCAGAAGTATAACTCTTGAGAAAAGGGGAGCACAGAAGAGCTAAAGAGAGGAGTGGAAGGTGTAACTGACGCAGCAGAAGGCTGTGCTGCCATTTAGCGAGATCTGAACAGCCTGGAGAGTGGGGCAGAGAGGAACCTGATGAAGTTCAATAAGGGCAAGGGTAGAGTCCTACACCTGGAGAGGAATAACTGCATGCATCAGTACAGGTGAGGGGCTGACCTGCTGGAGAGAAGCTCTGCAGAGATCGGCCATGGTGTCCTGGTGATTAATAGGTTGGCCGTGAGCCAGCAGTGCGCCCTTGTGGCCAAGAAGGCCAGAGGGATCCTGAGTTGCCTTCCAAAGAGCGTGGCCAGCAGGTCGAGGGAGGTGATCCTCCTCCTCTCCCCTGCCCTGGTGAGGCCACATCTGGAGTACTGTGTCCTGTGGAACATCTATCTCCCTTATGGGGAAAGGCAGAGAGAGCTGGGACTGTTCAGCCTGGAGAAGGCTGAGAGAGGATCTTATCAATGCTTATAAATATCTAATGGGCAGTAGCCGAGTGAGTGGGGCCAGGCTCTTTTTGCTGGGGGCCAGTGACAGAATTAAGGGGCAACGGGCACAAACAGGAACACAGGAAATTCCATGCGAACATGAGGAAATATTTCTTGACTGTGAGAGTATCAGAGCAGTGGACCAGGCTGCCCAGAGAGGGTGGAGGGTCTCCTTCTTTGGGGATTTTTAAAGCCTGCCTGGATGCTTTCCTGGGCAGCTCACTATAGGGAGCCTGCTTTAGGATGAGTGTGGACTAGAAAAGTCCCTTCCAACCCTAAGCATTCTGTTTTTCTGTGAAATGAAGTGGGATAAAAATTACTCTTGGGTAATATTTTCTAGATTATGTTTTAGGTGTTACTAGGAACATAGCTATTGCAATACTTGAGTACTGGTCCCCAGTCCCTTATGAAGTTAATCTCCCTTCCTCTCAAACTGGTGAAGACACTCTGTTCTGAAGACTTCCATTTCACTTGCCTTTTGATGCATCTTCTGCGGAGATGGAAAAATCACTGTTTTTAGTTATCAGAGAAATAGCCCTGGAATTGATGTTCTCTCTCCCTTCTTCATTCTTCACATAGGCTGTCCAACTGCCATCAAGACTAAAGGAAAGTAAATGTAAGGTTCTATCAACAATAATTTTATGCTGAGAATGGTTAAAGCCAATGGCCAAGTCATATCGTGAAAATGTGCAGTTTACAGTGCCTTAAGTGACTGCTAGATACAACCTATTTTGAAGTGTTTTAAATTTAGTTAGACCTTTTTAGCATTTAATTTCTTCCATTACACTTCTCTTTTCCTCTGAATTTCTGCAATATATTGATGCATTCTGTGTAACTTTTATATGCTCAGTTTTTGTGTCAGTGAAGTACTCTCATAATCATGTCCAAAAACCAAAACAGAAGTGAGGCAAACAGTGAGAATTAGATTTTTTTTTGAAAGTCCCTGACTACACAATTAGTCATTGAAGGAAACAAGTTAATAATGACAGAATGGGTGGGTAGAAGACTATGTGGTTTGTGAAAACAGCTGGCTAAACAAGGCAGAAAATCAATCAAGTTTGCCTCAAAATATTTAAAATGAATTGCTTGGACATGTCCTTGATTTCTCTTAGAAAACCACATTGCAGAGAAGGTAAATGTTCCTGAGAAGGCATTATATTCTTTTATGCACATGTTCGCAAACAAAATCCTAGAACTGCAGTCCTTGAAGGGTTAAGGAGCAGGAACTGAAGCAGCAATGAAAATGGAATCTTAGGGCATGGTAGAAATGGAGGAGATGCTCAGTGAGCAAACAGGATGGAAGATAGTTACAGGAACAATCACATACACTAAGATGGTTCAGTAGATTATCCAAGGTATGTATACTAACTGGGATAAGAATTCCTTGAGAGTAGCCATGCTGAAAAGGACTGGTGGATGAAAAACTTAAACATGAGCCAGCAGTGTGTGTTTGCAGTCTGGAATGTCAGTGGTATCCTGGGTGCCATTAGAAGAAGGGTGGCCAGCAGGGACTGGGAAGTGATTGTCCCTCTCTTCTTTGCCCTCATGAGGCCCCATCTGGAGTACTGCATCCAAGTATGGGGCCCCCAACTCAGGAAAGATGCGGAGCTTTTGGAGAGGGTCCAGAGGAGGGCCATGATGGCAATCCAAGGGCTGGAGCACCTCTTCTATGAAGACAGGCTGAAGGAACTGGTCTTGTTCAGCCTGAAAAGAGAAGGATGTGGAGAGACCTCATTGCGGCCTTCCAATATTTAAAGGCAGTTTATGAACATGAAGAAAATAAACTTTTAATGCAGATAGATAGTGATAGGACAAGGGGGTATGTTTTTATACTAATGTAGAGGACATTTAGATTAGGTGTCAGGGGGATGTTTTTTACTGAGAGAGTGGTGAGGCGCTGGAACAGGTTGCCCAGAGGGGTTGTGGATGCCCCGTCCCTGGAGGTGTAAAAAGCCAGGTTGGATGGAGCCCTGGACAATCTGATCTAGTACTTGATCTAGCAGCTGGCAAACCTGCCTGTGGCAGGAGGATTGGAACTTTATAATCCTTGAGGTCCCTTCCAACGCAAGCCATTCTATGGTGGGATGATGTGGGGTCTGGCTTCGTCCCAGGACTGGAGGGAGTCATATTCCAAGTTGGCCTACCTGCCTCCCAGTGTGAACCTCTGGACATAGTTGTGTGGATAACTTTGTAAACATAACTGCTGAACTTAAAGTTGGTGGAGGCATGGGCTGCTTGGCCATTGGCTCTTTTTATTCTATGTTGTGTTGGCCTCTAGTTTGTTTTCACTTGAGGCTCAGTGAGCAGTTGAGAAGTCACTTATCCTCCCACTCTAACTAAACGCCTGTGGAGGGCCACAGAATGCTTTCAGCTTTCTTTTTCCTCTTTCCTGAGAAAGAATGACTGATAAAGCTAATGAACATTGTGCTACACATGTTTAATTATTAACTAAAAAGTTCAGGATAAGCTCAATAGCAGTGAAGACCAGGTAGTTACTGGAAAGCAATTTCTTGAGATTAAAATTCTTTAGCTGCATACTGTGAGGTGTTCTTAAAAGGACAAGAATATAAGGAAACTACAGAAAATATCCATTTCCAAAGTATCTGGAAAAGGAGCAAAGTCTTCAAACAGGTAAGGATAAACTTACTAATGTTTGAAAGTGAAGATACCTCTGTACTTTCACCAAGTAATCCAATCTGATAAACCTGCATAATCTGTTAAGTATTAAGCTTGTGAACATTTACAAATGCAACACATTATACTAAAGTTATTTCTGTTTTGACATCTTTTTAAGACAATCTTGTTGAAATCATTGAGAGCTCATAAAGTATTTTAGAATAAAAATTTTGAGTTTAAAATTTTTAAGAGAATCATTTTTATCTGCTTCTAAACATGGATGTGAAGGCACTGCTTGTGAGGTGAAGCATTCTGGTGGGATATCAGTATCTTTGTATGCTGGCATACTGGACAAAAAAAAAGACAATCTCAGTTGATAAGAGAATTCTATTAACCTGTTCAAATTTGTTTGGAAAAGATCTCATTTGTTTGAAAACTCAGTTCTTCATTTCCTATAGCTTGGTTTCATTGTAAATGTGTGAGATTGGGCTTCTCTTCCTATTGGGTTCCTTTTATGGTATAGGCAGTGGAGTTATCCTCATAGAATTGCTCAGGTTGGAAAAGACCTTAAAAAACATGAAGTCCAACCACAACCTAACCATACTATCCTAACTTTAACAGCTCTCTGTTAAATCATGTCCCTGAGCATCACATCTGCACGAATTTTAAACACATCCAGGGATAGTGACTCAATCACTTCTCTATGGAGCCTATTCCAGTGCTTAACAACCCCTTCTGTAAAGACGTTTTTCCTGATATCCAACCTAAACCTCCCCTATCCCCTAAAGCTCCCCTTGTGAGAAGAGACCAGCCCCGCTCTCGCTGCAATCACCTTCCAGGTACCTGAAGAGCAATAAGGTCTCCCCTCAGCCTCCCGTTCCCCACACTGAACAGCCCCAGTTCCTTCAGTCTCTCCTCGTATGGCACATTCTCTGAGCCCCTCACAAACCTTACTGCCCTTCTTCGGACCTGCTCCAGCACTTCAGTGTCCCTTCTGTACTGAGGTGCCCAAAAATGAACACAGTACTCTAGGTGAGGCCTCACCAGTGCCTAGTACAGGAGCAGCATTACTTCCTTTGTCCTGCTCGTCACACCATTTCTGATAGAAGCCAGGATGCCATTGGTCTCATACAATGATGTTACATGTTATGTGTGGTAAAATGTAGAATAGCTTCAACACAAAAGTTACTTGAACGCTGTGGGTTTCAGGGAGGAAGAAGATAATGGAATAAGAACTACAGTTCAGAGACATGGCTGGAAAAGGAAAGGGGAATGAAATATTTCTGTCAGTGTCAAAAAAAGGGAAAAACAACAGATACCACAATGAAAACTTGATCAAAAGTTTTTTAAAAAAATACTGTGATATGTGATGAAAGGTTTTTTCAGAAGAGCATGCTGAATGTCTGCCATACAAAGTGTGTATCTCCCACCATTAATGTGAATGAAAAGCAAAGCAAGGAAACTGGAATATCTGTAGTGAAAACAGGAGTTTTACTGAGCTCAGGGTGGTGAACTTTGATAGTCAGCTTCCCTCTTTACCAGTCACCTGGATTCTGTCACTGAGAAGGGTGTAAGAGCAGAGGATGTGGGGCTAGCTTGATCTTACGAGAGAACTGAAGGCATAGTAGTAGCAAGAAGCTGGAACACTTACGACCTTAGGAGAGGACTATTGTTAGCTTGTCAGTATTTCAAGTCAACCTTACAGATACAGGTTTTTGATGTTCTTATATTTCAGAAAATTCTTTTTATTTTATTCTAAGTACCTGTCTGCTTGCTAGGGTAGTGTCAAGCACTGATGTGAGTAATACTGTTGTGCAGGCTGAAGTACATCAACCTCTTAAAATGCACAGAAGGATGCTGCATAAGGAAAGGAATAATCTCATCTGGTGGATAGGGGATGTAAAGTAACCAACTAATTAGATGGAGAAACTATCCTAGAAAAAAACTGGTGTTTCAGTAACAATAGTAATGCACTGGAACATATTGATTAGGGAAGCTATAAATTCAGTGTCAGAGTACTGCTACCATGAGGCTGCTAATAATGCCTCCCTGCGTTTTACCCTCAAAGTTGTCCTGTGAACAGACTCTTTAATTTAAATGAAAAAAATCACAGTGTTGAAACTTTCTTTTCTCTGACACATGGCAGAGTGCACATACAGATATATGAAATAACACAAATATTCCCATAGGACATGGCAAACATCATTATTATGACTACTCAGTCATGTGTAAAAGAGATTGGAAATTTC